CACTTCTTTCTATCAGGCGCGTCCAATTACTCTGTGTTCTGGAAGACACGTCCAAAAATCTGGATCTGCTTCATCAGCTGTGAGAAGCAGCAGCCTGGTACTGGCACCAGAGCTGGTGCAAAGGAAGGGAGGGATGGCAGGGAGGCTGTGCTTGGAAAAATGCTTTTGCCTACAGTGAGTCAGAAGAGAGGCAGGGCTGTAGGAAACAGAGCAGTAAATAGACTGAGAGCGAGAAGACTTCCCCCTCAACCCCTGACAGCTTTAGAAAGTTTTGATGCCATTATCAGTCTATTTGTACCACTGGCTTTGCTCTCAGATCTGCTCCTCCCGGATAAACCTGTCTGAGCTGATTGATGACTCCAGAGCTGCTCCTGAACAGCAAAGCAGCAAAGATGGGGCTTTCATTACAGATGATTTGCAGACACTGACATTTGCATCCTCACATAAAGCTGAAGACTAAACATCCTGAGACTTTTTATTCCAAATATTTGATTTTTCCCTCACTGACACTGAGCATTTTGTTTCTGGGCTTCGTCTTATCTTGCGGCTGGACAGTGGACCCGTGATTCTTCAGGTGCTCTGTAAATTGTAGGAGATCTTGCAGAATAGAGAGGACAATCCCAATCAGGCTAAAAGAGGGATAAGCCTGTTGCTGAATAGTTTATGAGTCATTGCTGTGCTTTCCAGGCTGTGCACAAGAGAGGCCTGAGGGAGGAATATGTGATCAGGGGGGATATTACCTTGGAGGTTGTTTTCATGAGGCACTACTCATCCAATCTAACTCCATCCCAATAGCTGGGCAGCCTCTGGTCCTTTGCTGCAAGACAATTCATGGCTGCACAGCGCAGCCTGTAACTATAATGCTGAAAGGATTCCAGCAAAGCAAACAGGCCTGGCACCAACTGCTTATAAATAATAGCTGAGCAAGGAAATATTAGTGCAGTTGATACCAGGCTGCAACAGAGAAATCCATGCTCTAGAGTTGTCTTTTGGTAGAAAGACTGGTAATCTGCACTGCACTGAGAAAAATCCTGGAAGTCAGAGGTATTAACATCCTGACTTTTTCTAAGGCTCAGTCTCCTGTGAATTATTATCTTGAGACTCTTATAATTCAGTAATATGCAGAGAATATGCAGGATTTTTGGCACATCAGGATTACTTTCAAACAAAGCCATAGCTCAGGGCAGCTGCTGTTCTGTTTGGGCAGTGGAAAAAGGCTGCAGCCCTGGGCAGTGGGCTTGTACATCCTGGGCTTCCTGCCCTCTGCTCCTCCTCAGCCCCTTGAGCCCATGTCCTTTCCCACACTCTCTTTTGAGGAGCACAGTCCCAAAAATGAGGCAATTCAGGCCTGACCTCCTAACCTGTCACATTAATGTGTGGGTTTGAAATCCATCCCCCCCCTCCCCAAAACGTGCAGTCTTGCTGCTCCCATCCGTATAAGGCCCTCACAGAGCACAAAGCCAGGCTGGGCTATTTATATTCCCTCGCCCGGCCGTGCCCACCCCACACACTGCACGGCTGGGATGTGGGTCCCACCCTGCTCTCCCGACTGCCTGGTTCTTCCCACGGAAACCCACACCTCACACAGCTCAGAGAGGCTGTCAGAGCCCCCTGAGGAGCAGAGGAGCCCCTGAAATCAGGCAGTGTGGGGAGCACCCCTTGGACAAAGGGCTGCTCCTCCCAACAAACAGCACTGCACATCCTGGGCCAGAGCAACCAGAGCTCGGCGCCCACACGAGCCTGAAAATAAAGGGAGCGGCACACTTCAGAAATTCAATACTCCATGTGTGTGCTGAGTGCTGCAAGGGTTTGCCCAGCTGTGAGAAAGTCAGCCCCTGACATTTGCAGGAATAAGTTTAATTGTCAAAAACTGTTTGGAGGAAAATGCTGAGCTTACATAAAGTGCCACGTGCTGCTCTCTGGCTGAATGCGGCACAAAGTCTGGTTTCGGGGCAGTAGCTGCACAGGACATCCATTATTTAGCCATGAACTGCAGTAACCAGACCCAGACTCGGGATCCTAAGTGCAGGAGATTTGGGATGAAGTCACTTCAGTTTGTTTTTATTAGCAAACCATTCTTACCAAATTTGTTGGTGCCCTGGTTTCTCTGAAAGATGGGAGCCCGGGCCAGAGGCACAAAGGAGGTTCTGAGGAGCTCTAAGCTCTGTTCCCAGGGCTTGCTGAGCAGTGCAGGCACTCACTATCAGACTTTTTAGGAAGGCATGCTCTGCACTGAACGCCTGCTTACACAGCTGGGCCACTTGCTTTGGGTTCACAAGTTTTCAAAACAGAAAGGTGGGGCAATTTGGAGGGGAGTTGTTGTTTTCAAATTTTACTCTCAAGAATCGACCTAATTCCCTACACTGAGTGGACATAAGAACTCTTTTAACTCGGCAGAAATCAGACCAGCTCCTGGCCAAATCAGCTGGAAGTGTTTCTGAGAGGGCGAGCAAGCGAGAAAATGCGTGCACGGACGTGACTGAGAGTGACACCCGTAAACGTTCTGCTCAAGACTTCACCTTAGCCAGGGCATGGGACTGATTTCCAGCTCAACATTTTCTTTCCCGTAAAGTCTGAAACTACCCTGACAGCTGTGCTCAGGATCATTCCCCAGGTCAGGCTTTCCCTGAATAAAATTTTACTTCAATCTCCTCTTAATCCACAACGAGGAAAACACAACTCGCACAGGCAGTCTGACCTCCCCTCCCAAGGTGCAAAAGGTCTGATTTGCACTCCTGAAATAGTCCCTCCTCAACTGCTGGAGCTTCAGGGCTTAATGCAGAGAGAATAATCAAACATCATTAACCAGTAAAGAACTCATTTATCTTTACTTCCTTTATCTCTTCGACCACAGAACTGTGCGATATCGAATTCCTACAGAGCATGACTCCTGCTCTGCTCAGCTCTGTTGCCTGAAAACAGCCACTGCTGGGATTATGGAATATCTTGCTTCTCTTAAAATGAGTTTCTCTCTTGTTCTCCAAAAGAAAAGGCTAAAAAAATCTTTATACTTTTAGCCACACCAGTGGAAAACACACAGGAGTCACTCCCAGCGTGGCGCAGCAGCTTTCCCTGAGTCAGAGAGGAGCAATAATGTGCTCAGCACCGCAGAATTAATTACATGACGAGTAACGTACCCAACAGACACTTTGGGGGGTGAGTGGGGGGTCTGCGAAGTGAAACACCGAATTAGAATAGGGTTATGTTGTAATTATTTGTTTTCAGCCATAGACACCATTAGGAAAGCACAGTGAATTTCTCATTTAACCTCCCAGGGTGGATCCCAGTGCCGGGTCCTTTCCCACTGGGGCCGGGTCTGCTGCTGCAGAAGTGCCAGGATGTTCATGAGGGCATAAGTGGCTCCACCGCACACGGAGCAAACCTGGAGAATTCCTTACTTGTGCTCTGCGACCTCACATTCAAATCACAGTAAATTCCATTCTGGGAAATCGTTCCAAATTACAAATATTTTTTTTCACTAGAATCTCCGTGATTACAAAGTCCCTGCCGCAGTCCCTTGCCAACTGACTCTCTCCAAGGCTGCTCTGTCCTCAGCACAGCAGCAAGGGCAGGCCCTGAACCTCCAGAAGCAGGGTTGTTTTTTCATATCCAAAGAGAAACTCTGCTCAATACACACAAGCCAGTGCAAACCAACACAAGCAGCTCACCAAACACCAACCTGTCGATGTCCAGGATGCTTCCCAAGGACCTTGAACTCTGCTAACTTCCTACCTATCTCCGTAACCCACACGGAATGTCGTGTTTAAACAATTCCCTTCCCTCCTCTCACTTTGCAATGGTCGTTGCTTCTGCAGGACATTTAAAGTCCTATCTTATTTTTCCATAGATGGATTGATACAAAGAGCTTGTAATAAATACACACAGGTATATCTGTCTATACCTGGTCGGGTTTCCCGTATGGTCTTGAGTATTTTGGCCTTTCAGCCGTGATAAAACTACAAATGCTCAAGCTCCGAAACAAGGAATCCCACAAGCCCTGTATATCTCCAATCACTGAGCCAATCATGAGCTGCTCACCCTCAAACCCCACAGCAAGGACCATTCTCCCTTTTATTCTGCTTTTCTTCTCTCTCTTCCCATGATCAGCATTCGATGCTTCTCTATTTGTCCCTGGCGCTGGCTATTATTAACTCAGAGGCTTCCAACTGAATCATTAACTGTTTCACTCACTTTTCTCCTGGGGCCCAACAGAAGAGTTTGCTCTGACACGGAAAACTAAGTGCAGGCAGGAAACCTGACAGAACCATGCTCCTCTCTCTCTCTCTCTCCTTGTTTAATATGAAAGGAAAACTCCAACACTTAGCAACGGGGGGAGAACATCGAGCAAACCGAAGCTGTTACTGAAACCAGACAATGAGAAGGATCAAAGTTTGCAGGATGCAGCAGGAAGAAGGTGGGAATTTTACAAACCCACGGCAAAGTCCACCCTGAGTGCCGCCGAGCTCAGGGGACCAGTCTGGATTTTCTCTGACAGCTCTATCCTGCCCTGGCGGGTGAGATTAACCCCGAGCCAGGGTTACTGTCACTTGTTGTTATCAGATGCATGTCACAAATCTGAAATGTTATCGCTCTCCACGTAGCCATGCACATGGTGTCTCTTGGTAGAAGAGACGTTGCAGATGGATTTACAGAACCCCCTTCCAGATCCCAGAACACACTTGTACTTTGTTGAGCTAAGCAGTAAAATCGGGTTATCTTGATCCTTCTGGCCTATTGCAGCGAGTGCTTAGGGCCTTGCTTCCTATCTGCATTATAAATTCCTGTTAAGTGGGACAGCTCTGTCAAGCTTTATCTTAGGACACACAGAAAATGTTAAACCACAAATGAGAAAGCTACGGGGGGGACCCGCCTCAGCCTGGACTGCCAGACAGCGCAGGGAGTTTGGGAGAGCACTGGACCGGCCATGCAGCGTGACAGGACCCTCGGCAAGGAAAACAGCCACTAACAGGATGCAAAGACGTTGCGAAACAGCTCCTTACCTGGTAGATCATGACTTTGAAGTTCCTGCGTTTCAGGAGCTCCGCTTCGTTGGCCTCCAGCTTCTTGATCTGCCCGGCTTGCTTCTCCAGGTTCTGCCGCACCGTCTTCACGTTGACGCTCACCTTGCGCACCTTCTCCAGCATCTTGTTGACGGTGTTGCTGGTGGTGGTGTGGGCCTTGGTCAGCTTGGTCAGCTCTCCCTGGATGCTGGTCACCGCGCTGTCCATCTCCTGCTGCCTCTCCTCCAGCTGCGTTTGGGTCAGCTGGATCTGATCCACCGCTCCGATGATCTTGTCCAGCAGGGTCAGCACCATCACGCCGTTGATCTGGTCGGATTTGATGGGCTCCTCGGGCGCCTGCTCCTCCGAGGCCTCGGAGACGGTGGGCGGCTCGATGATTTGCAAGGTGGTGTCCTCCATGGTCGCTCGGGAGCCCTGGCTCACGGGAGCCCGGAGAAGCTGTCAGTGCAGGGAGAGAGCAGGGAAAACTGAGCCCGAGCCTCGGCTAAACTCCGCGCTGGGAGGCGCGCCAGGAATGGGGAGTGCGCAGCGAGCGAGTGTCTGTGCTGAAATTCAAATGGCACAGCTCCGCACAGCCGTCCAGTGGAACTGCCCTGCAAAATTTTCCAGGCTCGCAGGTCATTGGCTGACTCCACCTCAGCTATAGAAAAGGAGCCGCTGCCAAATGCCTGCTGACCCACCCTTTTTGAAATGATTAAAATAGTTGGAGGGGAGGCGATGGCTCTGCATGCAAACACAGGCACGGCTCAGCCAGGAATGCAAAGCCCTGGAACCGCTGCCGCCCCTCAGTCTAAAGGCGCTGCAAGTAAGGAGAGGAAAAAACAAAATCCTCGAGTGAACGGGGTCGGGAAGCTGCTGGGAAGAGTGGGAAGCGAGCAGCCCCCTCTGGGCACAGCTGTGTGCATTGAAGGCTGATTTAAACAACTGCACGCGCCGAAGTTCAGCTGGGAAATGCAGACCTTTTGCCAACAGCAAGCCCTGAGGGTTTTTTTTCTCCCCAGGACTACGAAAGCAGGATTTTCCAATATTTTACAGAAATTTGGATTCAGTAGTTACGGCACAAAAACACCTGGATCATAACAATACCCCCCCCCAGTTGTGAATGTATGACAGGCGCACACAGTACGTGCAAAGTGCACCACATGTCCACACAGGTTTAACACAGGAGAAGGGTAATGCAGTCCTGAAGGGAGGCAGCTGGGCACTCTCCCCAGAGAGTGCCCTCGCCCTTTGCCACCAGCTGGAAAATACCAGGAATGCCCAAGGCAGCCCGGGACAAATGACCCATCCCCGACACACAGGCTGGGAAGCCCAGGGCATCCCACAGAGGGACATTGTTCTCCATGAATGCAGTCAGCACTTTCCCTGCTCTGGGACTGATCACCCTCCCCACTGACCTGGGCCTCGTGGCTCTGGAACCAGGGAATTGTGTCCCATGCCCCCACAACAGCCATTATGCCACCCAGGAAAAATAGGCTACTTTCTATGCCCTGTTCTTTCCTGAAAGGGAACCTTTTTCCAGAGCGTTTATTTCCAGTGTTTGCTGCTTATGAGTCAGCTCCATGAGGACACCCTCAGTGCAGGCAGACAGCGGCTGTTTGTCCCTGGGTGGGCTTCCCCAGGCACCTGCACGGGGCTTCAGGAACAGGACAGGGTGCCCATGGAGCAGAGCTCCTCCTGGGCCTGTCATCCGTGTGTGACTCCGGCACATCCCCGTGCCTTTGGGTCTCCAGGTGGGAATAATTAAAATCCCGCCTGAATAGGTCAGCCTGGATAGAACCAGATGCAGTGACAGGGCAGGGATTTACGTCCGTTCCCGGGGGTCGGTGAGAAGTGCTCCTCACGGTGCCCCCATGCCCGCAGTGATCACCCCGAGCTGGGACGCCGGGATTCATTTCCTAAATTCGGATTAAACTCCGCTCCAGCGCTTTTCTGCCGCAGGGACACGCCAGGAGCAGCCAGCGGGGTGGGAATCTGCAGCCTCCGCTCTGGAGCCTCTGCTCGGGGCCGGTCTGTCCCTGCCCCTGTACCCCTGGGGCTGCTCCTCGCCCTCACTGTCCCTGGGAGGGGGGCACACTCCTCGTGACGTCACAGGCACGCACGCGTCGCCACTATAACACACATGACGTAACACGAGCGATAGTGACGTCACCACAGCAGAATGCTAGAACACGCCCCTTCTAGCGTCACTTCCGGGGCGGGGCCACCCGCGCGCCGTCGCCAGGAGACGTGCGCGTGACGCCGCGGCGGTGACGTCACGGGCGGGTCCCGGCGCGGGGCAGCGGCGACAGCGGCGGGTACCGGGAACGGGGAACGGGGAACGGGAACGGGGAGGGAAGGGACGGTGTGGAGACAGCCGGGCCGTGACCGAGCGCCGGGGAGGCCCCGGTCGCCGCCCCCCCCTCGGGCCGGCTCTCACTGGCGTTGTCCGCAGAGGCCGCGGCGGGAGCGGTGCCGCCATGGGGGAGCTGTTCCGCAGCGAGGAGATGACCCTGGCCCAGCTGTTCCTGCAGTCCGAGGCCGCGTACTGCTGTGTCAGCGAGCTGGGCGAGCTGGGCAAGGTCCAGTTCCGCGACGTGAGTGTCCCTGCGCACCCCGTGCCGGGCGGGTGGTTGGGGTGGGGGGATCGGGACACCCCTCCCGGGAGCCCTGCGGGATCGGGACCCCGCCCGCCCCCGTGTCCGCAGCGCCGAACCCCCTCCTCTCCCCGGTGGTCGGGGGGACGCTGACCCCGCGTCTCTCCCCGCAGCTGAACCCCGACGTGAACGTGTTCCACCGAAAATTCGTCAATGAGGTCCGCAGGTGTGAGGAGATGGACCGCAAGCTCCGTACGTTCCACACCCCCCCCCTTCCCCGGGGATAAGGGGGCTCTGACTCTGCGGTTTTTGCTGATAAGCCAGTCAAGGCAGGCAGAAGCTGCAGGGCAGCGTTAGGAGCAGAGCAAGAGAGGGGTGAGGGCACGGGGTTCACCTCCTGGAAAGGTAACTCTAATCAGGTCAGAGAGTCTTGGAATAGGAGGTGGAAGGACTCTCAGCTGCTGATGGGGCCAGGTGCAGGTTGGGGTGACCGTGGAGTGTCTGTGGTTAACACTGTCAATGCTGTCTCCCCAGGGTTTGTGGAGAAGGAGATTAAAAAAGCTAATATTCCCATCATGGACACCGGGGAAAACCCAGAGGTGCCTTTTCCACGTGACATGATTGACCTGGAGGTAATGATGTGCTAAGACTCGACTAGTGTTTGAGTGGAAACAGGGAAAACTGTCCCCTGCAGAGCTCAGCAGCAGAGGGTCATGGCTCAGTCCCCAGCTGGCCCTGGACGTGGCTCTGCCACCTCGCATGGGCTGGATGTGACTCACAGCTCTGTGCTGCTTCTGTGTTTTTCCAAGCAGAAGTGAAAGTGCTTAATAGGAATTTCACTGCCAAAATGAGCCAAAACCTGCTGGAACTACGTGATGATTTATGGTGGTGGGTCATGAAGTTTATCAGGGGTTTAATGATTTGAGGAAACTGCAATAGACCCAGTCCATAAAGGACTGGCTGAGTGTGAGAAGTCTGTAGTTGCCTGAAAAGAATGTGGCAAATCTGGATCTGTGCCACAGCACTGTGGAGACACACCTGTAATTCCATACAAATTAGGTGGGGGTGTGAAGTATCTCATCAGCTTCCGTGTGCAGCTGGACTGAGCAGCACTTATTTATGGAATTGCTTTAAGTCCCTTTTCCTTCTCTTTCTCGCATCTTGCAGGCAAACTTTGAGAAAATTGAAAACGAGCTTAAAGAAATCAACACCAACCAGGAGGCTCTGAAGAAAAACTTCTTGGAGCTGACAGAATTAAAATTTATACTGCGTAAAACTCAGCAGTTTTTTGATGAGGTCAGAATACCGGGGGTGGGGGGTTAACACCTGGGGAGCTGGTTCTTCTCCTGGAAATTACCATTTTTATTCTCAGATATATTTCAGTTGCTGGTTTGGGCAGCAGGATCATTTTATGCTTTGTTTAAGAAAGCTTCTCAGATTGTTTTCCATTTCTCATGCAGAACACACAGCTACCCATGATTTACCTCATTTACAATGCTGGTTTGGGTTTGTTCTAGTTAAGCAATGATTTGTTTAAAAACTGTGTAAAACAGTTAAGGCATGAGCATTTTTTAAAGCTCATCAACAGCCCCAGAATTTGGTGCTGCAGGGAATACTGTCCCCAGTGGGTTGCAGTCCCTTTGGTGCACGTGCAGAGGAGTTACAATCAAGCTGAATTTGTCTTCAGCCTTTGAACTGTTATGTGGAGACTAATCAGGGTCATAATATAAAGTCCTCTGAAGTAGTAATTAATTAATTGAGCCTTTGAGCAAACCCTGAAGCTTTCAGAGGTCAGTTCTGGAGCAAAGCTGCCATTTAAAGTCTTTGAAATCTTGCCAGTTATCAGCTGGGCCCGGCAGCTTTCACTGGATCTGAGAGGAGCTTCTCCAGTGTCATTCATGGCCCCAACATAAATCCTGCTTGGGAGAAGACACAACCCTTCCTTGTGTAGGCAGTCTTCTCAGAGAGCTCCTGTGTGATTTTCTGGGCTCCTGCACACGTCAGGCCGTTGATCTAACAGATTGTTTTTTGGTGTTTTTGGCACAAGGTGCTGCCTGTTCAGGCACCAGGGTTGTTCCCGTGCCACCACCAGTCGTGGGCACTGCTGACACAGATATTGCTGCTGGTGTGGTGGTTGATGGGTCGTGGGGTTGATTTCAGTACAAAAAAAAAACATCGTCTTCGAGTGTTGAATGTTCACTTCCTGTTTGTCCAAGGGACATTTGTATTAATCTGATAATCTATTAGTTTCCTGTGGTAAGGTGCCACTGCCTGTTCTGAGTGTTAAGTAAAATCAGGTACAGGTGGTGCTGAGCACTTTTATATCAAGAATGAATCCCAAACTACTTTGGATTGGGAGGCACCTTAAGAGCTCCTCTCCTTCCACCCTCTGCCATGGGCAGGGACACCTTCCACTAGCCCAGGTTGCTCCAAGCCCCGTCCAACCTGGCCTTGTTAATTACTGTCCTCTCTGGTGAGAGCTGCCCACTGCTCTTCTTCCAGTGCAGTTTGATCATACTAAGTTTAAAGGTGAAAATCAGTTTTCTAAACAGTCCATGTCAGGTCACCCACGGAAGGGAGCTCATGGCAGCCTTACATGAACCGGCCACAGAGAGCTTAGATGTGTTCTGCTCCTCTTTGATAAGCGTTTTCTGTAGTAATAAAACAAAAGATACCAGATAACATGTGCTGCTCTATGCAAAAGCAAGCTGAACAGCTCGTGGGTGTTGTTCAGTAGAACATAGGTGTGGACAATTTAAACCTGTGCTCAGCAAACAGCCGAGTGAGAGCCCTGAGCAGCCCAGGGCGTGTGCCTGGTGCCTCTGCTCACCATCCCAGAGTGGCCAATGCTCCCTTTCCCCAGGCTGCCATTGCTCAGCACCTTCAACACTTGAAGACTTCAATGACTTGTAATTAAGACTGTATTATTCATAGTAATGAGTTGCACAAGAAATGGCTGGCTCTCCAAATTCCTTCACGCTTGGGGTTTCCTCTCTGCAGTTTGAG